CCCGCCGGAGATCAAGGCCGACGAAGTTGACGATGTGGCTTATGACGATGATGCTGACATTGATGAGGTACGTCTCTTTCCCCATATAAAGACAAACGACTAGAAGGGAGAAGAAAAGGACAAGGCATACTAACTATGTATTAGATGGGTGCGAACTCGGGAGACCCACGATTTGGTGAAGGCTGGGAGGAGGACGACGACGAAGCGGGCGGACAGCCCCAATGTGCGCAGCAGTAACGAATGATGAGATATGACCTTTGACTTGGCAGAGAATGATGGCACCAAAAGCAAGTCTAGATTTTGATGAGGAATGGGCTTCATACCTCAGGTTAGGTTAGGTTCTCCCATAGATATGCCACGGCGGCAAGCAGTGAAAATGGGATAGAGAAGAGCATAATTCGTCAGGCTCGGTGAGGGTTCTCACTTTGCGTAATAGGAAGTTCATGTCTCTCTACTATAACTCGATAGATCACACTCCTCTCCCTGTGTCCGCTCCCTGTGTCCGGGCGACAGGTTGTTGTTGGAGCTACCAATCAGCTAGTCCTATAATGTAGGCATATATTCTGTAGGAAAGTCAGCCACCAGTCTAAGTGCTATGCATATACTCTACCTACCTATCTACCTGCCTGTATATATAGAAACAGGTAACTAGGACCTTGTTGAACGATGCTGTATCCATCCGTTGGATTGCTGTTAGCCGTTTGTGGCTTGACGTTTGTTTTTCCCAAGCCACTACTAGAAGTTAAGTACCCAGGTACTAGCTTACATAAGATAGCTTACATAAGACAAGGTCGAACTTTCTCCACTAGCCCGCAATTATTTTCCTTGCCCCACGTGATAATTTTCACCAGCCCTAACAAAAGCCCTTAGTGCGAAACTCGGTTGTTGTGCAATTGGAAACTTTCAGACCCTCTACTGTATTGAATTTTGCGGTAGACCAGCCAAATCACGACAACACCATCAAGACACCAACACCAAATCAGTCAAGGTAGAGTACTCGCCACCAAGTCAATCATAAAGAATCGTCCGCAGCTAACACTTCTTAAAGATGGTTGCCGCAAAGAAGCACGTCCCGATCGTTAAGAAGCGTATGTCCGACCTATACCCTCCCCCGGATTGATGCGAGACACGAGGCATGGCTAGATGGATGGCGATGGAATGAGGATGATGTATTGACGGATTGATTTGCAGGAACCAAGAGCTTCAACCGCCACCAGAGCGATCGCTTCAAATGCCTTGCCTCCAACTGGCGTAAGCCTAAGGGTATCGACAACCGAGTCCGAAGACGCTTCAGAGGCAGCATGACTATGCCCTCGGTACGTGCGCCCATTTCCACCCGTTGTACATCTGCGAGAGGAAATCAGCAGCTGGCGATGGGCTTTGTATGGGGAGATGGACCTGCTAATACGTGGTGGGATAGATCGGCTTTGGCTCTAACAAGAAGACCCGCCACATGATGCCTTCCGGCCACAAGGCTTTCCTCGTCAGCAACACCAAGGATGTCGAGCTGCTACTGATGCACAACCGAACCTTCGCCGCAGAGTACGTTTCGATGATGTCTTATTGGAGAGCTACAGCTAGCGAGGAAATTGATCTAACATTATCGTAGGATCGCCCACAACGTCTCGTCACGAAAGCGAATCGACATCATTGCCCGCGCGAAGCAACTGGGTGTCAAGGTCACCAACCCCAAGGCCAAGGTTACTACGGAGGTTTAAGGTGGCGGCGACTTATTATGAAGGTGTTGACTATGGATTGGGGTCCGGTTTCTCGTTTTCGGCACTACTTGCATGCATGGGAAGGGTTTTGCTCTCTATGGTCTACGGACGGATTCGAGCTAGCATGTAATTTCGTGCTAGGAAATACAACACGCCTTCTGCGATGACACGTATTTATGGCCTCCTATTCTTGTCGATTCTTCTTTCGACTTGTTGAGCTTAGGGCGTGGAATTCGTCCAATCACGGCTTGGCATGGTGTTGGGTACGACTTGCGCCGTGACACGTATGATACACTGACGCCCGAGGCAGTACACGAATGGGTGGATGTGGCGATGGCAACGTCCCAAACATGGAACCCGACGCTTGCATTCTAAGCAAGTCACTCTTAGGTGGGCACTGAGGAATACGCAGAGTATGCATATGCCGCGCCACAAATATGTGTCCTGCAGCGCCTTTAATCCATTTCGACCGTACTAAGACTTCAGATCTAGTAACGCTATATATATTGTATACACCCTCAAAACCGGCAGGTCTTTCTACACGCCTCTACCTAGATATCTTGACTCTGTTCACCTATAGGCTCACCGAGCCTAGCTTGTGAATAGGCCGTTATCTTCGCGGGCATCGCACCGCTGTGCAGCTCGGGGTCCAAGTAGGGCTACTGGTAATATCTGGCTCTACCTGAGGTAGGGTGGTTTTATCTCAAACGAGTAGATGAGATACTACTTGATGGCCTGTGTAGGGTCATAAAGGTGCGTATATACGATGCGTGGTGTTGATCTGAGGTCTACTTCGCAAGCCGAATCAAGGCACATATAATTCTCATCATCAAAAGGCCTAGTTATCAGACCGACACAAAGGCGTTCGAGACATACATAGGGTTTGTTTTCCGGAATGCTTTCATGTCCACCCACGAACGAAAGGAAACAATACCACCTGCTGACGAAAGAAAAACAGCCAGAGAGTTCAAAACGACCAGGCGAGCCTCGATTGTTCTTAGTGTCTATAAAAATACTACAGCATTCCGTCAGCCAAAGTCACGAATTTCCTCATCCAGTAGTATATGACTTGCACTAGCAACTTGTCAACTACTTCGATTAGCTCTTCTCGCCACTGAACAAACCCCTTGAACTAAACAAAATCAAGTTTCTTGCCAATTTCATCGCGACCATGTCCCCACAGCACGGTCGAATCGTCTGCAACGCATTGGAAGGCAGAGCTGCCAGTCTCATGACCGTCAGTGAGGGCCACGAGAAGAGTCGTATCACTACCGACGGCCATCGCCATGCGTGTCATGAAATCACTGCACCTTATGGGGGAGTCTACCTTTTATTCCAGGATCGGGCTCTCCAGATCGCGGGTTTCCAATGCGACAAGCGAGGGTGCCAAAGTATCTGTTATTGCGACAGATATGACACTTACGCTAGCTTGGTCGAGATCGAACCCCGCGAGAATCTCAACAGTGTCAAGCAGCCGTTCACATGGCCGGCGTGGAGAGACAGACCCTGTTATGACTGCCTGGCCTACTGGCTTAATCTATACCAAGCTGCCCAGGAGACGGTAAATCTCCGCTTGCAATTCTTCCAACATCCCGAAACACTCACCATGTCCAAAAAAACATACAACAGTGACGGCACAACTTATTATGCCTTGGAATACGATTCCGCGCTAGATGAACGAAATGTCCGCTCCAAGGATAACGGAACTAGAGGCCCATGGGTTGAAGAAATATTGGAGTGGATGAAGTATGCTTGGAATGAATTCCTCGCCCGTGGCAAATTCCCCCCCAACATCATAGTCCCGTTTGATACTTCAGATGAAGAGGATGACGAGGATGACGAGGATGAATCCGAATATGACGACCTCGACATCCCCCTCAAGAACGTGAGTGACCCTAAGACCTCTAAGCGTTCGGACGAGTTCGATTTCATCGATGATCTAATCGATGAAGAATTCCCTCAGTTGCGGAAGAAATACGCCGCTGAACAAAAGCCCGAGCCGAACCACCCCCGAGCGGCCGACGACGGAAATTCTAGCGAAGACGACAGTGATTACGAAGACCCCCCTGCGCCGATCATCCCGCCCAAGAACATGACCTTGGGCCGAGGATTTGAACGTCCCGCAAAGCCACAAGCACCGGGGATGATGCGCCCCAGAAAGGAGGCTACGACATCCGCTGCTCCCGCCGCCGCCGCCGTTGTCCCGCGATCTCCGCTCGGACGCAAGCGGGCGCACAGTGCCTTCGTCGAGGACGACTCTGACACGGACTCCGAACCGCCGCGGCGAGCGATCCCCGCGCCGTTGGCGAAGTACCAGAAGCTAGGGCCCGCCACGCCGCGCAACAGCAACAGCAACCAATCCGGCTACAAACTCAGCGATATCGACTTTCTGCCCTCGCAGGTCCAACGGACTACAGACATGCTCCTAGGACGAGAAAAGGCCCCGAAACGCTACCCGAGCAGACGTCTATGATAGCGCACTACGAGCGAGAACAAAGACACCTGTCGTTCGGACTCCTTGGCTATGGCCAACCTGCCCGCGGACATGGGAAATAATTTCCTAGCTTTTTACAGTATTTAAAACGGAGTAGTAGGATTTTCAGCACAGGGAGTTATTGTTTACTGTACATCGTTGTCCTGGCACGGCCATAGAGCCAGGACATACATAATACCCTCTAGCAAGACCGCAGAAATAGAGCACTGTTTAATGTTTTGAGACCAATATTGTCCTTGTGACATGTGCAATGTGTGATAAAACTCGATATTTAGTACTGAAGTTTCGAGAGTTGTTGTTCAAGACATCAGTCGGAGATCCCTTTCTCTGGAACTCAAACCCCTTTTATCCAATAACAATATCCCCCCCCTTGTGTGAAAGGGCTTTGCTATACCTGATGTACTTCGACTTTGTGTAACGTAAACCTCAAACTAGGTATTATTTGCCTACAGCATGGGGATGTGGTGCCAGACCTCACCATGAAAAAACGAGACTTACCAATAACGCGGTTATACGCATCGTCTAACAGAAAAGGGGCAATAGAGTGTGAGAGGGGCCCGAGCTGGAAAAGGACCCCTTAACATCTCAATTTCACTAGTTATCTCCGGAATAAGCTAATATATACGGGATATTTGTTCAGCTCTGAGTCTGATACTCGTGCTTGTATCATGAACTCTGTTCGCGTACTAAGACGTGTCCAAACGTAGGCATAGTAGGCGCCATGTATATAAGCAGGTATAGTATCACCACATCATATTACAGTGTGGGCCTTCACGCTTTGCGACAAGAGCTCTGTAATGTAGTGGTAGCCTTCCTGACTCTAGCTTCTGGCTGGTAAGGCGAGGGTGTTGGTTCGAATCCAGCCAGGGTCATTGAGAATGTTTTTTTTTCTTCACACTTATCAAAGTACCTAAAGAGGCATCTTCAACTTGGGGCAAAGCCAGAGTTCGCATTCTACTTGTAGTTACAATACCTGGTTATGAATATAGATATTATTCATGAGTCTTGCTGAGCTACCATTAATATGCTGGTAAATCAATATCGCATAAGTACATGAACGGCATTATTGAGTACTGCTAGTAAAGTATATGCAACTATGCGATCAAAGTCATATGTCTAATCGCAAACCTCACAATCCTGTATGCACCTCTGTTTAGAGAACTTTATATATTTTTTTTTCAGGGAGTAGGGCGATTAAATCACAACACAAGTGTCTGATGAGCATAAACGAAAAACCTGGCATACGATGAAGAGGAGAATCCATGCCAGGAAATGAAGAGTTTCTATATTATACGTGGCCCTTTGTGCCGGTCACTACCGGCTCGGTCACCGCATATTATAAAACGATACAAGTTTTCTGGCCGAATCGAGTCAGACAAGAAACCGAATCCGACTGCTCTCCCTAGCACCCCAGCCAGAACGCGATTTGCGCCGTCTCCGACTGGATACGTGCACATAGGGTCGTTGAGAACAGCGCTGTATAATTATTTACTTGCGAAAGCCACCGGTGGCCAGTTCGTTTTGCGAGTGGAAGACACGGACCAGGTGAGATCGAACCAGCCCTTGGAGGTGCATGAAAATTGCTTCTCACTTGTCTTAGGCTAGGACTGTACAGGATGCCGAGCCTAGACTATATGAAGATCTGAAATGGGCAGGTCTGAGCTGGGACGAAGGTGCGAGGCATATCTACACTCTTATGCAACTATTCTCATTCTCATCTATCATCTCTTTCAGGTCCGGATGTTGGCGGACCGTATGGTCCATATAGACAGGTAATTCTTATAACTTTTCACTTCGTCGATTCTTCAATGCTAAATCTATTGAAAAGTCAGACAGACTGAAGACGTACACCGAGTATGCAGCCCAGCTAATCGACGATGGTCATGCGTATCGCTGCTTCTGTACACCCGAACAGCTGGATCAGATGAGAACCATAAGCATGGAAGCGGGCAATCCAACCATTTACAACCGGACCTGTTCACACGTGCCTCCGGACGTCTCTGCCCGGCGGGCTGCGAACGGAGAGCCTCACTGTGTGCGCTTCCGATGCGATCACGTGCCTGTGGTCAATGACTTGGTATACAAGGCTTATACGAAGCCCGGGCCGGAGGACGACTTTATCATCATCAAGCAGGACGGGTTCCCGACATATCACTTCGCCAACGTCGTCGACGACCACCTGATGAAGATTACCCACGTGATCCGAGGAGCAGTGAGTTAGCAACCCACGGACCCCCCGACCTGCGAAATTTCTTATCTAACCACGCGAGAATCAAGGAATGGCTCGTGTCCACACCCAGACACGTCGCGCTCTACGAGGCGTTCGGCTGGACGCCTCCCGTGTTCGCCCACGTCGGGCTCCTGGTAAACGAGGACAGGCAGAAGCTGAGCAAGCGCCAGGGCGACGTAGACATCGCGTCCTGGCGGGATCGCGGCATCTTGCCTGCGACGCTGCTCAACTACGTTATGCTTCTGGGCTGGAGCACCGGTAAAGGTGTAAAGGGACGAGACGAGGTTATGAGTTTGGATGAGATGGTCAGCAAAGTGAGTAGTAGTCTCTTTTTCGTTGCCAGTTGCCATTCCCGAGAGAGAGAGAGAGCAGACTTTTTTTTAACACCGAGTTTGTCAGTTCCGTCTCCGCTTCACCAAGGGCGACATCATCGTCAACCAGAAGGACAGGTCTCTCCAGTGGGGCCACGTGAAGCGCCTGATGAAGACCGGCCGCCCGGAGAGCTTCACTGACGTGCTGGTCCCGCCGGTAGCAGCCCACATCCGGATGTACGAAGCCCAGCTGCAGGAGTGCATACGAACCGAAAGCCAAGCCGACTTCCCGTTAGCGTACAAGCTCGGGTCCCTAGTACCGCTCGCGCGGCCTCGGGACGGCGCGGACGGCGACGGCGTCGTCTCCAAGAGCTACGTCGAGAAGCTCCTGCAGCTCGACATCAAGCAGTACACGGAGGCCAAGTCCTTCGTGCAGCGGAACAAGTACCTGATCTGGACGATCCGGCCGGCCGCGTACCGCGAGGCGCTGCGGAAGGTGATGGCGAGCATGCAGGCGGTCTTGACGGTCGACGCGGCGGATCTACCGCCCCCGGCGCCGCGGCCGAAGACCCCGCGCACGATCCCCGAGCTCATCGCCTCGCTGCGGGACATCCTGCAGGGCATCGCGGACGACCGGTGGCAGCAGGACGCCATCAAGAAGGCGATCGAGCCGTTCCTCCTGTCCGTGCGCGCGCGCCTGGGACGCCGGCGCGGCATCGACTTCACCGTCGAAACCGTGGCCTGGGGGTACGCGCTCGCGCGGTGGATCATCGCCGCCTCGGACCCCGGCCCCGGCGTCCCCTGCGCCATGGAGCTCCTGGGCAAGGCGGAGACATTGCGGCGGGTGGACATGGCCCACGAGATTGCGACGGAATCTGCTTCTGCAGCCGTGGGATCGGCATAGACGGGGGAGGGGGGGGGGGGGTTTCTTTTACACGAGTCCCATACCCAAGGATCTCTACGAACTACAGAAGAGCTATCAAGACTATTCGTTAGGTTAGTCAGAGCCTCTGTAAACAACCATGGTTTGGTTCTCTGTAGCATACAGTCTGGGCAGTTAGGAAGTTAGGAGGAGATGATTACTTCTGACGGTACCAAGAGAAAAAAAAAAAGGCCTGTGCCTATCAGAGGCCAAGCATGTATGACTCTGTATTACTACTTATTTTTTTTTACAAATGCAATCCCGTCCAAACGCCGTCCAATGCTTCGTATCTCATACGGGAACCGTACAGTCCGGTTTATCCCCTTGCCTCACTTCCCAAAACCATAGCAACGTAGTCCCGTCTTCTCTCACGTCGTAGGCATAGCAGCGGGAGCAGCCGTGCCCGAATTCGCGCCCAAGCCGTTGAAGAGCCGAGCCTTGACCTCGATGGCCTTGAGGCCCTGCTTCTCGTTCATGGTGATGGAGTTGCTGGCGCGGGCCAGCTTGTCCAGCTCGTCGGAGCCGTGCTTGGTAGCGGCGGCGCCGTAGAGGGTGGTGCTACGGGCGGTGCGCTGGAAGGCGGTGGTGGCCTCGCGGATCTTGGAGCCGAGGTCCAGCATCTGCTTGCTGCCGTAGTCGCGGTTGGTCAGCAGCGGGTTCTGCGACAGCGTCTGCACCCAGTACTTGCTCCACAGCAGCTCCAGCAGGTTGCTGTCGAGCGTCGACTTGAAGTGCGACACCGCCAGCGCGTAGTACCGGGCCGCGTGCGCGCCGAAGTCTTCCGCCTTGGCGAGCGGCACGGCCTGGCCCGAGGACGACTGCTCGGCTGACGACGACGTCGGCTGGTGGCCCTCGGGGAAGGTCCGGAAGGCACCGATCTCGACGCGGCCGGCGCTAATGGTGCGGTCGGGGTCGATGACGACGGCGACGAAGGGGTCGTTGAATTTCTGCTGCAGGGTCTGGGTGCCCACGTCGATGCCGCTGAGCCAGCAGCCGTAGCCCGGGTGGCTGTGGTACCAACCGACGACGTTCTCCTGCCGGGCACCTTGGTCGCGAGATAGCTGCAGGTATTGGACCATGTACTCGTTGGCGTCGTCCTGTGCGTTCACGCGCGTCTCGGTCCCCTCCACGGGCAGGCCGAAGGCGTCCGTCACCACGATGGTATCCCCGTCGGTATATCCTTGCATCAGGCCCATGATCTCGATAGAGCCCCCCGATCGCGCGTGCATGACCATCTTTATCAGAGCTACAGCGCTAATGCGTACGTGCTGGAAATGATGGGGGTTCTCTCTCCACGGCTTCGCATCGTTGACTTGGTCCTGGCGTTCGGACGAATAGTTGTAGAGGGCGTCTCGGGTGGGATCAACGAGCTTGATGTCGTTGTCCAGTTCTACGAGGGGCAGCTTGTTAGTACCGGTGTGGTATTCCCATAAGAATATAAGGATACAAGAGGCATATATGGATGCTTACCCCAAGATTTCATAGCCACCTCCATCTTGACTGGTTATAAGGCGTCAGTAACATGTAGTTTGACGGTTTGACGGTTTGTGAAGGATGTAGAAGGCGTAAACTGTAGTTGGTCGCCTATTAACGTATTAACGTATTAACGTGGGGTGAAGATGCAGGGAGCTCTTATCCTGAGCTGCTTTATTGCATAGACTCATTTAATAGAAATGGAGTCCAGTAGGCAACAGGGACTTACATCCTATATTGCATATTGCATATCTGTGTAGCCTGGCCTTAGAACCTTCGCCAACAGTTATCGATAACATCTCAAATTTCGAGCCTCACTGTCTTGTCGTGAATCTTCGCAATCTCGCGATTTGACTCTTGAGGAGGAAATCGCAATTGACCCAAAATGTCCAGATCAGCTATATCGCGGCCAATACGGCACGCCTTTTCGAGGCCATTGGTAAATTCCCACAAAAGACAGACAACGAATTGCGACAACTAACATCTTGGAAGGCTCAACCGCGATATGCCTTAACCCCCCTTGTGAGCGCCCGCTCGCAAGCCTCAGTGTATGCTGCCAATCCAAGAGTTATATGCCTGATGGGAATATCCTAACCTGCTTGCAGAACAGAACCCGAGTCCGAGCCCGAGTCTGGGCCTCCTCAACTTGTGTATGGATATGAATATAGCCGTGGCAGGCCGAGCAACATACGATTACTTACGTGATTCATAGGAACGAGCTTCCAGACCCTCGCGAAGAGAACGAGGTCCGACTCCCTAGGGCAGTCCAAGCCCTCTACCTCCAGCCTCTGCGACGAGAAGCCCCGTACGGTGTGCCCACATGCAACCTCCAGCTGCGATCCTTCAGCATCCCGAACCTCGAATTCTTCTGCGACTTTGCGCTACGAGCCGCTTACTACCTAAACCTCCCCGCATTCGGACCGGTTCCCCTACCGA